AGAAATTTAGGAAGAACATTCATTTTTACAGCTGAAATTCTTCCCAACAAAGATAATTGCAATTTTTTCCAATCATTTAAATCCTTTTGTACCTTAGCCCATAAGGCTTCATAATTATTCTTATACAATTTTGCATTGGAAGCTGTAATATAAACCCCCAAATATTTTATCTTTTTAACCATTTCAAAACCTGTAAGTGAAACTAACATATCTTTATCATCCTTAGACATATTTTTCGGTAATATCTTAGTCTTATTACAGTTAACCTTAAAACCAGAAACTTTCCCATATTGTGCAATAATTTCAACCACATCAGTTACCGAATCTATCGGCTGAGTTAGTGTTAACACTAAATCATCTGCAAAAGCTCTTAATCTATAATCGATCTTCTTAACCTTAATTCCTTTTATTACAGAAGACTCACGAATTTTAGTTAACAAAATCTCCATTGTTAACACAAATAACAATGGGGATAAAGGACATCCTTGTCTAGTTCCTTTTTCAATTTTAAATGCTTCTGTTGCCCCCCCCCCCATTAACTATAATCTGTGCTGATTGCTGTTGATAAATGGCCTTAAGAGCAGAAAGAAATTTTTCCCCAAAATTCATTCTGTCTATAACCTGAAACAAAAAACCCCAATCTAATTGATCAAATGCTTTTTCAGCATCTAAGAATATAAAAGCAGCCGGAATTTGGTTATTCATATCCAAATACTCAATTAAATTAATAATCTGTCTTACATTATACTTCATGTATCTTCCAGTTATAAATCCAGATTGGTCACTATGAATCATTTGGCACAACACTTGCATTAATCTATTTGCCAGTACTTTTGAAAAAATCTTGTAATCTGTATTCAATAAAGATATAGGTCTATAATTCTTGGGTTGCGTCAAATCCTGACCCTCCTTTGGTATTAAAGATATAAAAGCAGTCCTCCAAGTAGGAGGTACCTCTTTGCCCAGCAATATACTATTAAACAGTTCCTGTAGTGGTTCTATCATTTCTTCCATTAATATCTTATAATAAACTGCTGTAAATCCATCTGTACCTGGAGCTTTACCAACCTTTAATTGTTTAATTGCTCCCTTAATCTCCTCAACTGTAATTAAACTATTCATTTTTTCCCTTTGATTATCTGACAGTCTAGGACA